TATATATATATATATATATATATATATATATATATAACAGTGGTGGGATGTAACTAAGTACAAATACTTTGTTACTGTACCTAAGTACATTTTTCATGTATCTGTACTTTACTTAAGTAGAGTTAAATGTGGATATTTATACTTTTACTCCACTACATTTTACATCAAGTATCTGTACTTTCTACTAAACTACATTTCTATAATGCTTTGCTTTACAAGTTACATTCATGTTGCCTATTCAAAAAGGGGGACCGTAAAGTGTGTTCCAACTACAGGGGGATCACGCTCTTAAGCCTCCCTGGTAAAGTCTATTTGGGGGTTTTGTAGAGGAGGGTCCATCGGATAGTCGAACCTCGGATTCAGGAGGAGCAGTGCGGTTTTCGTCCTGGTCGTGGAACACTGGACCAGCTCTATACTCTCAGCAGGGTCCTGGAGGGTGCGTGGGAGTTTGCCCAACTGGTCTACATGTGCTTTGTGGACTTGGAGAAGGTGTTCGTCCGCGTCCCTCGGGGAACCCTGTGGAGGATACTCTGGGAGTATGGGGTACAAACAGCCCTAACAGCCCTTTGATACGGGCTGTTAGGTCCCTGTATGACCGGTGTCAGAGCCTGGTCCTCATTGTCGGCAGTAAGTCGGGCTTGTTCCCGGTGAGAGTTGGGCTCTTCCAAGGTTACCCTTTGTTACCGATTCTGTTCATAACTTTTATAGACAGAATTTCTAGGTGCAGCCAAGGTGTTGAGGGGATCAGTTTTGGTGGCCTTAGGATTGCTTCTCTGCATTTTGCAGATGATATGGTCCTATTGGCTTCATCAGATCGTGATCTACAGCTTTCGCTAGAGCAGTTCGCAGCCGAGTGCGACGCGGCCGGGATGAGGATCAGTTCCTCCAAATCCGAGGCCATGGTCTTGAGTCGGAAAAGGGTAGAGTGCCCTCTCCAGGTCAGGGAGGAGGTCCTGCCCCAAGTGGAGAAGTTCAAGTATCTTGGGGTCTTGTTCACAAATGAGGGAAAAATGGAGCGTGAGATCGATAGGCGGGTAGGTGCAGCGTCTGCAGTGAAGCGGGCGCTGTACAGGTCTGTCGTGGTGAAGAGAGAGCTGAGTCAAAAGGCGAAGCTCTCAATTTACCGATCGATCTACGTTCCCACCCTCAG